GTGTGTGGCTCTTATGGAGAGAAGTGTGGCTATTCGGAGCACATAAGGTATTCTTTAGAGCCCTGTGGGGCCCTTCTGAGTCGAAAATGCCAGCGTGGACCCTCAGCCGCCAATTGGCGTCGCATGCGACGCCAAGGGGCCCTGCAGGGCCCCTCGGGCCCGAGAGGCCCCCTGATCCGATGGGGGCACGTGCCCCCTGCCCCCCCTCCGGGTACAGATAGAGAATGCAATCGGCGGTGCGGGACACAACAATTGCCAATCGTTCCTTCTCCCGTCGCGAGGTCGCCCATCCGACCCATATCCCAAGATTGTCAACCGTGGGGCTCGGGTCGGCAATGTATCGGCAAGGAAATCAGCTTTAGGTGGGTAAAAAAGTTATTAAGGGTCATAAGTTGTCGTTACGTTCAGTAATAACAACGATGAAGTGCCAAATGTACCCGACGTACGGCTTGGAGCCGGGCGCCGCGCGGTCTCCACCAGTGACGTCACGCTAATGCTTAGCGACCGGTCCATTGGAAATTGCGGGATGATTCTACCTCTCTTATACGGCCTTGGATGGATCAAGACTTTTGATTATTGTATGAAATCACGACGCCTGTCAATTCAGCAGCAAGGAATATCAGCCTCACAGCAGCATATTTCGGGGTGTTTCATTTTGGCTCAAAATTGCTATATAGGGCCTTCTCGATGCGCTGATTCCGAAAATGTACCTCTTTGGTGTGATATTTTGCACTGCTAACGAGTTAACGGCCAATCAACATTTTAACGGGAAACGGCGGGTCTTTCGATTTGGCTGAAAATCGGTATACAGGGCCTCCTCGATGCGATGATTCCGAAAATGTACCACTTTGGGGTGGTATTTTGCACCTTTAACGAGTTAACGCCTAACGGCCAATTAACATTTTAACGGGAAACGGCGGGGTCTTTCGATTTGGCTGAAAATCGGTAAACAAGGCCTCCTCGATGCGCTGATTCCGAAAATGTACCTCTTTGGGGTGGTATTTTGCACCTTTAACGAGTTAACGCCTAACGGCCAATTAACATTTCAACGGGAAACGGCGGGGTCTTTCGATTTGGCTGAAAATCGGTTAACAAGGCCTCCTCGATGCGCTGATTCCGAAAATGTACCTCTTTGGGGTGATATTTTGCACCGTTAACGAGTTAACGCCCAATTAACATTTTAACGGAAAACGGCGGGGTCTTTCGATTTGGCTGAAAATCGGTATTCAGGGCCTCCTCGATGCGCTGATTCCGAAAATGTACCTCTTTGGGGTGGTATTTTGCACCGTTAACGAGTTAACGGCCAATTAACATTTTAACGGGAAACGGCGGGGTCTTTCGATTTGGCTGAAAAACGATATACAGGGCCTCCTCGATGCGCTGATTCCGAAAATGTACCACTTTGGGGTGGTATTTTGCACCTTTGTTAACGCCTAACGGCTAATTAACATTTTAACGGGAAACGGCGGGGTCTTTCGATTTGGCTGAAAATCGGTAAACAAGGCCTCCTCGATGCGCTGATTTTGAAAATGTACCTCTTTGGGGTGGTATTTTGCACCTTTAACGAGTTAACGCCTAACGGCCAATTAACATTTTAACGGGAAACGGCTTACGGCGGGGTCTTTCGATTTGGCTGAAAATCGGTTAACAAGGCCTCCTCGATGCGCTGATTCCGAAAATGTACCTCTTTGGGGTGGTATTTTGCACCGTTAACGAGTTAACGGCCAATTAACATTTTAACGTAAAACGGCGGGGTCTTTCGATTTGGCTGAAAATCGGTATTCAGGGCCTCCTTGATGCGCTGATTCCGAAAATGTGCCTCTTTGGGGTGGTATTTTGCACCGTTAACGAGTTAACGGCTAATTACCATTTTAACGGGAAACGGCGGGGTCTTTCGATTTAGCTCAAAATCGGTGTACAGGGCCTGCTCGATGCGCTAATTCCGAAAATGCACCTCTTTGGGGTTGTATTTTGCACCGTTAACAACTAATAAACATTTTAACGGAAAACGGCGGAGTCTTTTGATTTAGCTGAAAATCGGTGTACAGGGCCTGCTCGATGCGCTGATTGACCCCGCTCGACCCCGCATCGGTATCCAGTGCCTCCTCAATGCGCTCATTCCGAAAATGTACCTCTTTGGGGTGGTATTTTGCACCATTAACGAGTTAACGGCCAATTAACAATTTAACGGGAAACGGCGGGGTCTTTCGATTTGGCTGAAAATCGGTATACAGTGCCTCCTTGATGCGCTGATTCCGAAAATGTACCTCTTTGCGGTTGTATTTTGCACCGTTAACGAGTTAACAACTAATAAACATTTTGACGGGAAACGGCGGAGTCTTTTGATTTAGCTGAAAATCGGTGTACAAGGCCTGCTCGATGCGCTGATTGACCCCGCTCGACCCCGCTCGATGCGGGGTCTTTCGATTTGACTGAAAATCGGAAAATCGAAAATCCCGTTAAAATGTTTATTGGTCGTTAACTCGTTAACGGTGCAAAACGCCACCCCAAAGAGGTACATTTTCGGAATCAGCGCATTGAGGAGGCCCTGTATACCGGTTTTCAACCAAACCGAAAGACCTCGCCGTTTCCCGTTAAAATGTTAATTGGTCGTTAACTCGTTAACGGTGCAAAATACCATCCCAAAGAGGTACATTTTCGGAATCAGCGCATCGAGAGGGGCTTGTACACCGATTTTAAGCCAAATCGAAAGACCCCAAAAATTTGCTGCTGAAATCGATATATGCTGCTGAAATGTTAACGGATCGTTAACTCGTTAACGGAGCAAAATACCACCCCAAAACGGTACCTTTTCGGAATCAGCGCATGGTGGAAGCCCTGTATACCAATTTTCAGCCAAATCGAAAGACCCCGCCGTATCCCGCTAAAATGTTAATTGGTCGTTAACTCGTTAACGGTGCAAAATACCACCCCAAAGAGGTACATTTTCGGAATCAGCGCATCAAGCAGGCCCTGTACACCGATTTTCAGCCAAATCGAAAGACCCAAAAAATTTGCTGCTGAAATCGATATATGCTGCTGAAATTTTAACGGATCGTTAACTCGTTAACGATGCAAAATACCACCCCATAGCGGTACCTTTTCGGAATCAGCGCATTGGTGAAGCCCTGTATACCGATTTTCAGCCAAATCGAAAGACCCCGCCGTTTCCCGTTAAAATGTTAATTGGTCGTTAACTCGTTAACGGTGCAAAATACCACCCCAAAGAAGTACATTTTCGGAATCAGTGCATCAAGGAGGCCCTGTATACTGATTTTCAGCCAAATCGAAAGACCCCGCCGTTTCCCGTTAAGATGTTAATTGGCCGTTAACTCGTTAGCGGTGCAAAATACCAAATCGAAAGACTCCGCCGTTTCCCGTTAAGATGTTAATTGGCCGTTAACTCGTTAGCGGTGCAAAATACCACCTCAAAGAGGTACATTTTCGGAATCAGCGCATCGAGGAGGCCCGCATCCTTGCCCGCATCGAGGTTTCCCATGGATATCCGTAAAGCAGCATTCGCCTCAAGGCTATAGAACTCCCTCAGCATTCGCCATTCTGAGTTATCTGTAAGAATCTTGATTCTGAGTAATCTGCGTGGGGAATTTTGCTTCATACTTTGATCCAGCTTTGATCTAAGGCCCTTTGATCGTCTCAGTTGCAGTCTTCGGCTCAGTCCGCGTGCTGGAAAGGACAGGAGCTTAGAACATCTGGGACTTGGGAGCGGCCTCCTCAGTCCTCAAAGCCTTCAGCGCATACTTCAGCGGACCTGCAGGCTATACGAATACGGGCCGGGGACAGCTATACAGGTGGAGTGGCCAATACTTCGGAACGACGAATGATGGTTCGGGGCTCGGACCAAGGCAGTATATTCGGACCGTTCGGACTGCCTTGGTTCGGACACTTCGTGACCGGGGTGACTTTCGGCTGGGGGTTTGCTCTGAGTGAGTGGTCGGAATAATGTCTTGATTGTCTTGCCTTATAGCTTCCGACGTTCGCCATCATGAGTCGATGGGCTGTGGCTTTTCTCATAGTGCTCATGAATTCATGCAATCGCTACTGTTGTGCCTATAATTAGCTCATCTCATGATTTATGCGCTGCATATTGCATGGATGCCTAAATGTCAAAGATTTGTAAAGATTTGTCAAAGTTTTTTTTTTTTTACCAGGCAACATCGTTTAGGTAGGTATTTATTTATGTTTGTGTTTGCACTTCCCTTCATTATTTGCAGAGGCATGTTGAATCAGGCGTTTAGACTCCATTGCAATCAATCGCAAATCGCAATACACGCAGCTCATGTGTCAGTTTCAATTTGCACAATACAGAGTTCCACCAGGACATGGCCGCACATTCTTCTTAGCTACAGGACTGAGAAGTAGCCTTGAGTTTGGTATATGCATTGCAAACTTAACACCCCCACGATGCACGCGTATTTTTCATTAATTTTTTTTTCTGGCTTCGCACCTAAGCGTCCAGGAGCCAAGACCGTTGGCCTAGGCGCTTGAGAAAGGACATTAAAGGGACCCTCCCACCTTAACATTAGATTTGAGTTGAGATAGCCAAAATGGGGTCCCTGGCTCACAATTACCGGTTTCGGCACTCACAACATGATCGAGAAATGCCTTAAATCGGAAATATTGAATTTCAAAATTGCAGCATTTTGATTCAGAGGGGCTAATGCTTAGGAATACCCCTCTGAATGTGTGACGTCAGCGCAGATATCTAACGATTTTTAAATGTTTGACTAAAACGTTTTGTAGCACGCGGTGGTATATGCTATTTGCGCGCAACATCTGCCGCAAACGCCGCACTTCTAAAATAAAGTCGCTAGAAACATCGGAGATCCCAAAAAAGTAAACAAAAGTAAAAGTCTAATACCTTGAAAACCGGTGAATATTTTTCGGTGAAATTTGGTAGATATTTGTTTTCGCTCTTTCTGAACCGAGCGACATCACTTTCATGCCAATTCATAAACTTTTTTGAATGTGGGAGGGTCCCTTTAAAGCTCCTTGCGTTGATCTGACGAGCCTCGTGACGCCAGGAGGCTCTCGTTTGACCTCGACCTTGTTTGTGACCCTGCGCCAGCGCCGCAGCAGGAGCGCGATGGTGGCGGCTCATCATCCGGGTCTGTAAGGTGCACGGAGCTGTCGACGCCAGGCGGACCTGCTCGCGACAGCACGACCCGCAGCAGGTACCTGCGGCCGCGGGACAGGGGCGTCTAAGGTCTGGAAGGGTTGAAGGGAAGTCTTCCACTACTATCACACGGTAAATAGGACTACAAGTCACAGTGATGCGATGAGTTAGCCATTCGTCATGGTTCTCACCCGATGGCTTCAGTCACCATGAAGTTGTACTTGGCCGAGACCTCGATCCAAGTGAGGAAATCGGCCTGTTTGACCACGTCCTCCACCTCCCACTGGGTGACGTCACGGCCTCCAGTGACGTCACACTGGAAGAAACAGTCGTGAAGGTGCTATCATAAAGACTGTCGTTATGTATGATAATCATGAACAATGCGCAATACTCATGAGCAGGCATCAGCATATGATCACGACACGCTCTAGTCACCTTGTTAGCGAGCAAGAGGCTCGGGAAACGTTGCTCGTCCGGCAGGCTGCACAGACGGTCGATGTGACGCTTCCAGCGGAGAGCGCCGCGCAGCGAGCGTCGCTGCCCCAGGTCAAACACCACCACACAGCCGTGAGCATCCTTGTAAAACGCATCCGCCAGCCCCTGGAACGATCTCTCGGCTAAAGGGAGCCGGGGCCGGGAGTTTGGGAAAACGGTCAGCCGCATGTAACATGAGTCGCCCAGTCTCGCTGAGTTGCTACTTGCTACCAGAACGGTGTCCCGACAGTTAGTCATGCGACTTGGTAGCTTCGATGCTATATGCCCGTTTTTCATGCAGCCGATAATATCACCCTTCATTGCCAGCTACATTTTCGGGACGCCTATTCGCTAGTTTTCGTCTGCTAACGTCTAATTCGTTAGTTTAAAACGTTAGCAGTTAGTTTTAATTGACGATGTGCACTATCACACTTGCACCTTTGAACGAATCTCTCCTCACCCCACCTAACCGTTTTCGCTCACCGCTAAGCTCTGTGATCTGGACATTGAAGGCACCTTCCTCCAGCTGCACCCCGGTCTTGGTCGATGTTCGCACTCCGACCGTGGCCTCGCGGTCCGGCTGGTATTTGTCAGCAACGTACCGGGTCACGATAGCAGACTTTCCCACGCCCGCGTCCCCCAGCACGAGCAGTTTGTACGGGGCGCTGCTCAGTCCTCTCGGACGGGGATATTCACCTGCAGAACCACAGTACGGCACGTTACTGGTGCAATGCAGCATCCCTCCCCTTAGTAACAATGGATGCAATGCAATTAGTGGTTACCGTTACTGGTTGGTACTGTTTCTTATAGAATGACTGAATGGGAATCTGATGCAAAAAATGTCGTTCTTCGAAACATGGAAATAGGTTCTATGTTAAATTCCCCGATGACCTGCGCTTGAACGGTTGCTTAATACAATACTAAGCTCATCACGCTCCTCCCAATTCTCCTTTACCGTTCTTATAGCTTTCCAAGTCACGATCAGGCCCTGTTCTTACCTGAACCATTCCAGGGTGCCGTGGTCTCCTTGGGCGTGGTGGGTGTGGCGGGCTCCAGCGACCCGGAGAGCTCCTCTCTCCAGCCGGCGCTGAGGTGGCGCTCCTGGGGACTAGCCGTAGCACGTTCGCCGGCACCATCGCGAGCCACGGACGGCAAAAACACCAGTCGCAATCGTGTCCGCTCTCCCATCCTGGAGCAAGCGACTTCTGGAAGATACCGTCTGGCTTTCTCCGGTGCTGATGGACCCGCTTGAGCTGTGCTCCGACGCCGGTCCCTGACCCGTGCACTGCCCGCCGGTGCGGAGCTGATCTGTTGTGACAGCCCGGCGCGTCGGTCGGCCTCCTATGGCTTCTTCGGTGACCGGCGCCTGGGACGTGGGTGTGCGGTTCTGCGGTCGCCCGCTGCCTCAGGCAGGTATGGTTATCAAACATTGCCCCTCCCCCACTCCAGGCTGCTCACATTGTGCCCGGATGATGTGCAGCCGGCTATACAGCAGCGAACAGTTTATTGTCTTGTGTGTGTGTCTGTGCGTCTGTCAACCCAGGTGATTAGGGTTGTCAATCCTATTCCTATAGTTCGGTCGGGTAGGTTCCTTGCTTTTATAATCAAACGATCAGTGTCATCGATTACTGGACAATGTACGTGGCCTTGTATCGGATAAGAACTCCGGCTGTCTTCTAGTCCAAAGCGGAATTGTTTTTAGGGGTAAAAGATGTGAAAATGGCTAACATGAAGATAGGTGATAAGCATGAGTCATGACCCAAAATATAATCAGGTGTGTAAAAAATATGGTGTATAATTATGCAGTGCCCAGTAAATATATCGACGAATGCATGTTGTTTTGCGTTAAAGTAATGGTTATTTGGAAGCGATTGGCAACATCCAGATGGAGACGTCGGGGATTCGCATTGACGTCGTCCCCAAGGGTGGACCTTTTCGTTAATAATGTCCAGGGGCGCCGCCACGGATTTTTGACTGGGGGGGACGGACTGACCGACTGAAAACCCAAAAGTAGGCATTCTTACCGTGGCTTTTTCGGCCCGATGCATTCAAAGTTTAAAGCAAATATGCCACTTTTAACATTGGGTTTTGAACTGAAGTAACAGTTTTGTAGCCTGAGCTGAGACAAGAACAAATCAGGAGCTTTTATGGCCCAACGATCACCCTAGCCAAAGATATCGGTATCGATTTTAGGTTTAAAGACTTAGGTTTTGAAGACCCTTGCCGAGGAATCCATTCCCTTACGGAAAAATACCAGCCAATCAGCATTTAGCTGGTTTGAACTACGTTATATGATTGGCCAACGCGTAATCAGCTTCCGCTGCAATATCAGGCCTCTGCGGAAGACGGTAATTGGTTCCTAACTTCTTATGTAAGAATAAAAATAAAATCCTTTTGCAAATATTCATTATGTTATTTCCTGACCATTTTAAGCATAAAGACTCATAAACCTGTGGCAAAACAACTGGTTTGAGGAAAGTAGTTTAGGTATTTCCTTTAATAGACCCGAGACCGAATTCCCACCGAGTACCTACCTATATAGTATATACACATCTGATGTCCGATTCAATTTTGACACGGCAAAGCCTCTAGTGTTCTATCAGGGTATAATTGCTGATGTATGCCACTAATCTGATCGGTAATGCATATTGCATAGGATGCATACCCGCGTGGGGGAGGAGGCGTTGTATAGTTACAATCTCTCTTTCTGGCTTGTGCATGAATCGGCGCGAAGCGCCGCGAAAATTGGCAAAAAAACATCAGGCAAAACTGCTCCAAAATACGAATTTTGCGGCCCGTTTAACAAGTTTGATACCAGAAAACTTTAGGTCAGGTCACCAAGTCAAGTAGTCAAGTCGCCTCAAAGTTTTGTGGTCCTGTCAACGGTAGGTATAGCTTATTTCTTAGAAGCTGAAAATTTAGTGTAGTGTGACTGCAGAACTGTGGGGTCGGAGCCGGAATTAGTCGGAGTGAAAGTTTTGGCCAGAGTCGGAGTTGAAGTCTTCGAAATTGTTCGGATTTTGACTCCGAGGTCGGATTGGTTTAAAATCATGCTCTTGGCTAGTTAGACGAAATATATTATGCCCGTTTTCTGCCAGTCGTGTTATGCGACACACGTTGATCACGATATCAAAAAACGGCAGTTCCGCGATGACGGGTCGGATAAGAGCTGGAGATTTTGTTGGCCGAGGTGGCAGGGGTCAGACCAATGCATGTCGGCCCATACCCCATATACTGAGTATCTAAACCTCCTGGACCCTCTCAGATTCGGCAACGTTCCATCTCTTCCATCCTCAGGACAGTCAAATCCTTCTCCTCCACGCCGCGATCCCCTGCTCCGGGCTGGACGGGCAACTTTATCCCATGCGGGAATGGCTCCACTGGAGCTATAGTCCTTTGTCGGGTGCAGTGAGTGCCAGTGGGCTGGGCTGCCTGTTCAATTGGTCGGGTTCAGCCCAAGTGGCTCACTGGCGTGGCTGCCCAGACCAATGTCTCCCACTGATTCTTTCATCCTCCCGCTCTGAAATGGTCTCATTGGACCGAAGGGCCTAATCAAATTTCGAGTAGGAAAACAACCAGTAAAACGCCTTTTGGGGCGACCAACGGAGCGAGCGAGGGGTGGGCCTTGCACGTACGAAATTGCGAGGGGGTACCTCCAACCAACTTGTGCACTGCACCCTACTAACCGGTCCCTACTCCCTAACCATGTGTCAACTTTCAGCATAATCGGTTCAGCCGTTCTCGAGATCGGGAATCGACCCCTGCATGTGCGCACGTGCAGCAGCAACCCCCAACTGTGGCACATGGTCAAGGATTGCATTGCCTAGTGGGTGCCTACCTACATGCCAACTTTCAGCGCAATCGGCCCAGTATGTTACCGAGATATTATAATTGTTACAAAACTGACCTCTTCGTTTTTCACGTGGCAGGTGCATAATGGGTCACCCACATGCATCGAGAATAGTTCAATGCTTGTTAGAAGGAATGAAGCTACCCTACAAAAATTACCGCATGTAAATCAGTCAAGTGGTTCCTGAGATATAAGTCTCGCAAAAGCATGACCACGGCCGGCCGCTCATACTCAGAATTCAGAAATTTCCCGAAAGACTACGCTCGCTTCGCTCGCTCCGTAATGAGTTTGGGGGGGACGTCCCCCTTCCATTCTGAGAGTGGGGGGGGGACGCGTCCCCCCCGTCCCCCCCGGTGGCGGCGCCCATGATAATGTCTGCAAATTAACGGCACAAATAAGTAATCCTTGAAATGGCGCTGAATGCTGCGTACTTGGCGCACCACCGGTTCTGTAATTTCTGTTCAAAAGCCGAAGCAGTGGTATCTCTTGCCCAGTCGCCAGGCAATCGAGAACTTTTATTGACTTTTCAGAGGACGTTGCCAGGCAACTTGCTCTTCTCAGCGTTCGTTTGTCACATATTGAACAGTGGGACAGAAACGTTCTTTACCTTCGTGGCTCGTGTGTGTACACGCGTGGTGGAGGCTGGATGCTGAATAGTTTTTATTAATTGCGCCTGATAAGGATATAACAAAATGGCTGTAAGTATGATAAACTTTTTCTCTCTTCTATAGTCATGGTGTATTTGAAATTAAGATGTTTGGATCTTTAATTTATGCATTGAACCTGTCTGTTTGAAGTTTGATGTGGACTCCAGCTCTCCGGCCTGCGTCTGTGGCATAATTTTCATTGGCTGATGATAGGGCGTGTGCTTGGCATCCGCAAAACGTTACCCTTTAGATATTAATCATTCAGAAAATTATTCATGTCAACCTTAGTTTGGTATGTCTGGTTCAGGTGAGAATCCTCCATGTGTTATTATCCCTCATTTCAGCGTTAGGCATCACAGATGCTATCCCTGGACAGTCACAGTAATTTGACTTACCGTAAACCGGGGTGACTTTTTATCACTTTTGACCAGTTTGGTACAATATCTTGTATATCACTTGAGATTTCACTCTGGAAACTGTTTCATCATACCAATTGGACAATTCTCTATCTAACTGAGTACAATAAATGCCTTGAAATTATCATAAATATTTTATTTTTTTACCAAAAAATTGATCATTCTCACCCAGACGTCAGGGTGACTGATCACTACATTAAAATCACCTTATGTGTGCCATAGGAGCCTTCAGAAGGGGCTTGTGTGATAAAATTACATGTTTTGAATAAAATCAAAGGCTTTGCTTGACAAAAACTCACACATTTTACAGTAAAACTATGAATCATTGAGGTATTAAAATTAAGTTGCATGCTCTGGGTCTAAACTGACATTACAGAGCTATAAGCAGCAAAATTAGCTACTTTAACCTCTGACTTCAAGATTAAGTAACAGTCACAGATGTCCTAAGCCACAGGCTACCTGTTCTACATCACACTTTGTCTGCTGGTGACTGTGGGACCACTTGCCACACTGTTCATGCCCCTCCCAGCTGATTGTCTTTTTCACTTCCCATTGACGCTCCAATTACCACTGAGATAGAGCAGCTCAATGCTCATCCTCCATCATCAGTATCTAAGCCTTTCCTTTCTCTTTCTTTATCTGGGTCTTTCTCATCTTTACCATTATTTTTGCTGGAGATGCTAGCGAATTTATACTTCATGCCAATGACAACAAAAAAACAAGCTGTGACATGAACATGATTATTCTAACTGGGACCCAAAGTGTCTGATATAATGCTTCATTGCTTTATTTAACTATTGGCATAGAAAATACAGTTCACAGCAGCTAATTGCTCATTTGAGGCCCAAAATTGGTCTATGATCAAAGTCACCCCGGGTATCATTGTCACCCCGGTTTACGGTACTTTTGATTTTCTAGCTTGCAAACACTAAGTTACTTATGACATTACATCACACACAATATGTCATCACATCTCACAGTTTATCTTTAAAAAATCAAAAGTAAAAACCATTTAATCACCACTATCAAAAATACCTCCCACCCCTAACGCGGAAAACATCCGACCACCCGAGGTCCGCAGATTCTCCCCTGCAGGGAATTAGTATCAGGGATAATTTTACGCACACTACCTACATGTTTTTTTTTCTCTGGTTCTATTGCTTATATTTTCATTTACTTTGTAGTTTGTAGCTTATTATGCATTATAATTGAATCATCTGAGAAAATAAATGCAGCAATGGTCTTTTCATGCCTAGTGATATTCTAGATTCAACATTGGTTGGTAGGTAATAAGTGATTGAATGGCAAACAATTTACTGCTTGGTACCTAACATTTGTATAACAGTTCTTAGAGTGCATAACTTTAAAAAGGTAATTGTTGCATCAAATTTCTCAATCTGTCCAATTTCACCAGCACATCAATTCATCTGGTAACTTGTACGAGTCACCTGCCTCCTGATATGCTGAAGCTTTTTCATAAGCTGCCTGATCCATAGAATATTATTTTTCTAAACTAAACTTTTCTGTATTTTTCTGATTTGTATAGACATTGATTTGAATATTGTTCCATTTCAGGCCCCTATGCCTATCAACCCCAAGCCTTTTTTGAACAACCTTACTGGCAAGTCTGTGTTGGTGAAGCTGAAGTGGGGACAGGAGTACAAGGGATTCCTGGTGTCAGTGGATGGTTACATGAACCTGCAGGTTAGTATCACTTCAAGCGAAACTTTAAATGTAACAAACAGATAGAAAGTTATTTGGTATTAATTTATTCCAATTTTTACTTTTGAAAAACTTTATGGCTCAGTATGCTTCTTTTATGTAACTCTTATCAGCAAAACTTTGGTACCTACCTAGCATAAAAGTATTTAATAGCTGTTAAAGATTCATGCCTAGTATTGTAGTGCCCTGTATAATCAGGTCATGTACAATATCATGGTGCTAGCACCTTGTTGTATTGCTCTTGTATTTTGCTTTCTATGGTCACTTCACCATATCCAGCATAGTACCATTTTATATTTTCAATAGATTGTAATCACCCCATTTATCTGAGACACATCAGCATCATGAACATCATATGACATCAGCTTGTAAAATACACCTTTCTGCTAACAGTACTATGCACACTAGGTATGTTTACTGATAATTTTGTGTTCTTTCTGTTTTAGCTGGCCAACACCGAGGAGTTCATTGATGGCAACTGCACGGGCAGCCTGGGTGAGGTTCTGATCCGCTGTAACAACGTACTATACGTCAAAGGCGGCGAGGACGACGACGAAGATGGCGAGATGCGAGAGTGATCTCACGGGACCATTATTTGTCCACACATACATTTTCACATTGTATCATCATACTCTGTCCCACTCTCATGTGAATACAGTATAACATTGTAATGAAGTCTGAGAAATGTAACGTTTCAGGTTTTCCGAAATTTTTCTCACTAACGGGTCTTGTGTCGCTGACACTTCGATTATTGGTGGAGTTGCGGTACTAAGCGAGGTGAGGGACTGAATCGCTACTATTCTGAACAAGTAACTCTGGTCAGCCATTGCGGTTCAACTGCCTTAACGCAACGATTGATTATGCGATCGAAGAATGGGTTGGATACTGTTACAGTCTTCGGGAGCATTTCTTACACAAGCCATAGCGATATTTTACAGACATGTATTTCGCACGATTTCACGCACGCTCGCCAAAAGTTGACGCAGCGTACCACTAACAGCACACAGCTGGTGGTGATGGTCGCTCGACGTCCTCTAAACATGGAATGTTGTGTATGGACGGATGCACGCAATGTACGTAACACTTTGCCTCAAAGTACGGGTACAGTGGGATAAAGAGTACAAAATATTTGTCGGCTGATTATCACATTTGCGTTATGAATCGCTTACGGGTCCCGAAAATGCAGTTGAAAATACCAATAGCAGTTCAATAGGCGTTTACTGTAAACGTTCGCATAAGAACAATCGCTTTTTGTGAGAGCTGAAAGCCATTTTTACTTTATCCCGCTTGACAATACAGCAATACACTCATCCTTATCAACTACACTAAACTATGCGTTTCATGTGCAACTCGCGGACGGAACGTTCAGCAAAATGCTGGGAATGGAAGCCTGTACACTCCTGATCGGACCATGGAACCATTCGTCCATGCCACTGGGACGGGCAGTATAGCATCAAAGATTCATCGTTCAAAGCTACAGAGTAATAGCTGGCTACAGTCTGTTCCACTGATGGTGTACACAGTCTCTCGTGTTAAGTGGTCAGATCTTCAAACGGTACACAGATCGAAGGAGATTCTAATTTTCAATGCGGCGCACGTTGGCTATGTTGGCTCAGCTGACCATTGTGGTCTCTACTTCGAGCTTCACTCTGTGCTCACCAATGAGCGTTACACTCGCCGGCCTACTCCTCCCGCCTCAGACGGCGGCCTCCACCGAGCCGGTGGCGTACTGCGGAGTCGGCTCGATAATGTCCAGGTCGCTGGCCGGGTAGCGGGTGTCAATGATGCGCCGCGGCTCGTCATCATACTGACCCAGCATCTCGCGCGAGCCGTACGTGACTGGCACCAGGCCGCCGGCGTCCAGCGGCTGCTTGGACTGGGTCGGCTGCTGCAGCGACGTGTCCAGCACCTCCATCTGGTACTGGTAGCGCGACGGGCGCCGCTCCCACTCCTGGGGCAGCGTCGTCACGCGCGAGCCGAAACACTTGTGGCCGAACTTGAGGATGAGAATGATGACCACGACGACGAACAGGGTTAGACAGGCCAGCGGCGGCCACGCGGGGAACACCATGGCTGGGGCTCGTCAGAGGCGGCCTCTGTGTCCGTTGATAGTACGCTACTTTGAGCTTGTTACCAAGTTTGGGTTACCACTGCGGCACCGAACGTTCCTCCTGACACTACACCGACACTCCTCTACAAGTTCCCTCACTCGAGGTCCTCTCTAAACGTCTGTGCTAGTCTCTGACCACACCACTCGGCGATCAGCTCAGTAGTCCAGCGGCTGGGCGTGCTTCGGCGACATTATAAATAACGGTAATGCCCAGCGGTTCCCGGTTCTCGGATCGCGAATGTACTCCTTGTACCTGGCGAAACGCACAGACAAGCGTGTCAGCATAAACAAACAAATATAAAACAAGACGACTTGGGGAATTTAAACAATCGGAAACAATTAAGACAACGAAAATACGTCAGGACTAACACAAATTACGCGACATATTCTTAATTCTTGTCATTCGGTTGCCAAGCGTAATTCCATACCACCTCCCCTCTTGATTGACCCCATGCGTCCCGTGTCCCTCTCACTCCTCTGTTCCCTTCCTTTCGCCCAGACCCGGCCGCGCAGCCTACCTGGGGCAGCAGCAGCAGCAGACGAAGTTTGTGAAGGCGAGCAGCAGCAGCAGCGACAGGCTGATGCCCAGGCCGATGTAGAAGCCGCTGAAGTCGTCCCAGGCCGGCGGCGAGTAGGCGGGGTGGCCCGGCGGGTAGATGGTGATGTTGTTCGTCTGGACGCTCATCCTGACATCACGTCAGACGGCCGGCCAGATCACCACCGGCCACCTGCCCGGCAGACATCGCAACGTGGGTAATCGTCTGGGTCATATCACTGGAGCCTGGGTAGTGCGTGCTGTCTCGTTACAAACGATTGACTTTTGCACAATAGCTAGGTTTAATACCACTGCAGAATAATAATCGTTTTAATATTCATCAAAATTTTAAGTTTTAGTTGCGTTTGATGCCAGAGAGCTTATGTAATTGCCCGAGTAATACGAAAAGCGTATTTAAGCACATTAAAAGGCGTATTTACACATTTACAAACACATAAATTAAGCGAATGCATGAGAGCCAGTGGAGTAGGTGGATTTTACATCCTCATACCCCCCCCCCCCCCCACACACACACACATACAACGCTCACATCCTAGTAGAATGTGTAACGAACTTTGACTTTTTATGTAGGTATATCGATATGCATTTTGAAAACTAGGCGACTTTTGTGAGAATCACAAGAACTTCGCCAACTTTGATACATTCTCCAAAGCATGAAAGTTGAATTTGCTTGGCATTTGCAGGCAGTAAGCATTTGAATCTGAACGTTAACGGGTGACGTGTTTGTATGAATGTCCGGGGCAACGCCCTTTCCTTGCAAACGATTGCCCGCCTTTCCTTCCTATGTGTGCGGATCACGGTACGACACCTATCGATTCCCAGCAGTCCCCCACAATGAGATATCACCAATAAGTCCATCATATCTCTTACCTTTCTTACAGGAGCAGCAGCGACCCGGTAGTCGTTCGTGGCGCACAATGACTCCTCACTCCCCACCGTGCCGCCGCCCGCCGTCGCACGCGCGCTCACCTGAGGCCAGTCGCGGCGGACGTGTGACGTCACGCCGGGCAGGTATGGCGGACGGCCGTACACTGGGTGCGCCTCGCCCGACCGACAGGTGAGCGCCGCACACTGGGTGCGCCTTGTCCGGCCGGCAGGTGAGCGCCGTACACCGGGTTCGCCGTCTCCGACCGGTAGGGGAGCGCTCGGAGACACCGAGAGGGGACATAAACGAGCGCACGTCTGCACTAAATTATCTGCACTATATGCAATTGTGCAGGATAGTGGCGACTGGCGGCAGCGAGAACAATGGTGTAGCCAGTAATTGCCACCACCCATACCAATGCTACTTGTGCTTCCTGTCAGTTGCTTTGTTTTCCGATAGTCAATAAGGAAAAGTGGAAGATTGCTCTCGCGAACGCTCAAGTGCAAGGTGAACGCTCAACACAAAACCTTGAACCCGAGAGTGAATTAACCTGCGATAGCGACAATGCCTCATTTCGTTCGCCACGGCAACGGTCAAGTCTGTGGGTGCAATACGCCCATAGCCCCAGGATCAAACTTTCAAGAATGTTACCTAATGAACCTGAAGAGGGCCATCGTCTTCCACACGAGTCACATACCGGTGACGAAAGAAGGTCCCAAAAATTAAAATGCGCACATCTATTATGCACATTCCACAGCATGCGTACAAGCACGTGTAAACCTTTTCGAACCAAACAAATTGTAAGCAGGCATATCGTCTCGCAGCTACCAACAGCACGTCTATTTTGCGATTAAGATGCAGCACAACTCTGGATTAACTACTATCAAGTAGGTATATTTATCGTTTTTCTATATCAAATACATGATTGAGGCGTACTATTGCATCTGAACTGGCTTCATCTACAGCACAAACAAACGATATGATAGATTCAGTCCGCGCCACAAGTCGATACACCACCAGCCACCACGGCTCGTCACACTCACAACCGGCAACGAAAACCTGAACAGACGAACAAGCGTCGTACCACGAGCACATACGACAACTAAATAATGTAGGTAACTGAGTGAACGCTGATACGTTATTATGCTACAGCAGGCAAAAGAAACAAGTTACAGCAGGCAAAAGAAACAGTGAAACCAAACTGGCGCAAGGGAATCAACGGCACCGGCTTTTGCCCGCCCGTTGTCAAGGCAACTTCCCATCGGGCTGGCTACAGAACAGGCTCCTCGCCGATCTGATGTTTCCTCCAGCCGTGCCGTTTCAGATGTTTCTTTTCCTTGAAGGTGGCGCCGCACGCCTCGCAGATAAACTTACGCTCATTGGAATGTACTGTTTGCTCGTGGACTCGCTTGGAGCTCGACGCAGCGAAACCCTTTTGGCAAAACTGGCAGCGGAAGGGGCGTGCACCGCTGTGGCCCCGTTTGTGTACCTTCAGGTGGCTCTGGTACATGAACATCTTACCGCACTCGTCACACTGGAACGGCCGCTCCCCGGTGTGAATGCGCGCGTGCACCACCAGGTTACCCTGGATGCTGAACCGCTTGCCGCACTCGTCGCACTGATAGGGTTTCTCTCCGGTGTGCGTGCGGTAGTGCATCTCCAGACTGGCGTACGAGAGCATCGCCTTGCTGCAGACGGGACAGACGTGGTCTCGGCGGCGGCCGCGCGCGTCCAGCTGCGGCGGCGGCGCGTGGCGGCCGCGCGGGGGCGGCACGGGCAGCGCCGGCCGGCTCTCCAGCACCGCCTCCACCTCCACCTCTGCAGCGGCCGACGACATGGTCGGCGACGGGGCGCTGCCCTCCGTCGGCGGCCCGCCGTCCGCGCGCAGCTTGCACTGGTGCATGCCGAGCCGCCACGTGTTGACGAAGGTGATGCAGCACGTGTCGCAGCGGTACGGCCGCTCCTTGAAGTGGCCGGCCTCGTGTTTGCGCATGTTGCCGCTGTCGTTGCAGGTTTTGTCGCAGAAGCGGCACAGGTACGGTCGGACGCCGGCGTGCAGCCGCCGGTGGCGCTGCCAGCCGGAGACGGAGCGCAGCTGGCGGCCGCACACGTCACAGTCCACAGGTACCACCGGCGCCTGGCCAGAGTTGGCGTTCGGCTCGCGCTTCGGTGACGGCTCGCGGGGCGGCCGTGCCGCCGCCAGCTCAGCGGCGGCAGCCAGTGCTGGCAGGCCCGATCCGCTCAGCTCCATCGGAACATTTTCACTGTCCAGTATCATCGTCTCCTTGGACTCATCAGGAATCTCAGTGCTCGTGCTCTGCCCGGCCTCAGTCATGTCCATACTATCGCCAGCCTCGTCCGAGTTCTCCTGGGACCGCGCCAGTTTACAGCGGTGCGCGCGCTGTCGAATCGCCGTCCAAAAGGTGATGGTGCACGTGTCACAGCGGAACGGCCGCTCCTTGAAGTGCAGCTGCTCGTGCTTGCGCAGATTGCCGAGGTCGTTGCAGCGTTTCGGGCAGTAGGTGCAGATGTGCGGCCGCTCGCCGGAGTGCATCCTCTGGTGGACGGCCAGTTTGGTGGCGCTGGAGAGCACCTTCCCGCACAGGTCGCACTTGAGTGACGTCGCCCCGGACGTGGAGGGGCCGCGGCTCGGGCGGGTGCGCCGCGCTCCCTCCGCCATGTCCTCCACGTCCATCACCGGGTATTCCTCGGGAGAGTCCTCATCCTCCGTCGCCGCCGTCGTGACGAACCGGGTCCGCCGGCGGCGGCGCCGGCCGACGGTGACCTCGGCCGGCGGCGGCGGACTCGCCCGGGGCTCCGGAGGCGGTCCGTGCTCCCGCCCGTGGTGGGAGCGCAGCCGACCGGCCGAGGTGAACGCCTCCGAGCACACGGCGCAGGCGAACACCAGCCGCTCGCCCGAGACCAGCACGGTGCCGATGGCCAGCAGCTCCGACTCAGATCCGTCCGGCGGCGGGACGGTGACGGCGCCCTCTCCGCCGCTCCGAGCTGCGCCCGCTGAAACGAGCACAAAGGGCTGATCAGACGGGAACTCAACGACATCCGGTGAATGACCATAAGAACCGCTTTGCAATATTAAATGGTATCCAAAACACAATGAATCAGCGTACGAGAACAAGTCAAAAACGAACAAAAGTAAATGGACAATAACATAAAGTGTAAACTTGAAGTCAAAAACAAGACGTGAAGTTCGTTGATCAGAAATTAAAACGGGCACCCAAAAACGGAAAAAACAAACAAAAACAACACATTGGTGTCAGGATTCTGCAGCATATTTCAAAGCTAAGAACAAAGAGAACATAAACGAAAAACACCACAACTGTGCCTTAGAGTGAGTCGATTTCAACGGGTCGTCACGCTTGACGCTGGTTTCATCAATTGAATAATGTGGGTTATGTCCAGCGGCCACATCCACAAACACGCCATTTCCTTACCACTGTTGGCTGAAGGTGCAGCGCCGTTCCCCTCTGCCGATGGCGTGTCCGTGCCGGGAGCGGCTGCGGAGCTGAGGCTGCACGCTGCCGGGTCACAGGTGACAGTCAGGCCCTCCGACCCCTCGCTAATCTCTGCCGCCGACTGCCCGGTCCCTCTCAGGTCCTCCGAGCCCTCCGTTCTCTCTGCCGAAGATTGTCCGATCGCTCTCAGGCCTTCCGATTCCTCGGTCCTCTCTGCCACGGGTTGTCCGGTCCCTCCCGGAGCGACTGTGACGCCCACTGTCGCCGATGGATCGGACGGGGGTCCGACCGCGGATGGGGAGCGCTCTTTGACCGGATCGGATGCTGCCGCGCGTCCACAACTACCGTCAGCGCTAGTCAGCCCGGGTCCCGCGCAGGACGGAGCGGCATCCGACTGCTCCCTGGCAGTTGAGACAGCCAAAGGAGCCGAATCGGCCTCAGGGGCCGTTGGCTGCTGTTCAGCATCCACAGGCTGTGTCAGTGTGGCCACCGTAGTCGGGGAGGGACCAGCTTCAGTCGGCGGACCGCCATCTTCCGCCATCTTCAGTTTAGCAGGAACCCAAGCTGTCTGTGCCACAACATCAGAGACAGCTGCCTCCTTCACTGATGACTTGTTGCCATGCTCAGTTGTCACTGCTAAAGCTAAAGTCCCTGAGTGATTAGAACCTTCCACCAGCCCTTCTACAATTGCTACATCAGAGCCATTATTGCGCATCTTGAGTTGTTGCTGCACTCCCACAGGATGAAACTGAGCACACAGTCCATTTTCCAACACTTCTGAGGCAGTGATACTGGTAGCATCCATGCATTCTTGACCATCCACCATCTTCAGTGTAGGTGGGTCTGGACCTTCTACTCCCAGTGCACATGTTGTTACAGAGGAGACAGTTGAGTCTCCTGGTGAAAATGGTGCTGGATCACCACTTGACATGGCAGTTTTCACACTGAAATAAAGTAAAAGGGGAGGACTTTCAACACGAAGTTGCTACAATCGATAAGTTACTCCTCGTTCCATAAGTCACACTTCAACCAACAGCATCAATAGGTACACAATGATGCTGTTGGCAATTGGCATCAATACACATCAATCACATTGCAACAAGATGGTTTACTGACTATCTTGGATGATACAAAAATAGCCTAGACTTAGTGTTAAAACTCAAAAACGTCATTTTTGGACATGAAATCCACCCTTTTTACTAGTGCTAGGTAACCGAATTTTTATTTTTTGGTAGAAAGGTATTCTCACTCTCAGCACAGCTCACTGGCACTAGCCAGACCTCACTGCTGGCATATCCCGGTCCTGTAACTGAGGATCAGATCTGAATAAGATTACATTAGGATCTGCACAGCACAGCTGCTGCCTAGCACCAGTATCCTAAGATTTTTGGAGTGATTTGCTAACATAGCAGTAGAAATTTAAAAGGAGTGATTTACTGAGTTTACACAAGGAATGCAGTGACACTATGTTTTGGATGACTTTCTAGTAACTACCATTGGTAAATAACTGGGGCTCTTTTTAGATAAGCAACAAAATTCAGGAATCTGGCAGTGCCTTAAAAGTAAAATACCAAGCTCATTTTGTTATTTCAGAATTCAGCCTTTCTAATTATTCAAAAATATATTTGTGCTTTCTTATAAATCAACTTGTTACCAGCTTTATATGCAATAATCCAACACATTTGCTTAGTATACTCCCTTGACCGCTGCTGTGACAAAATGATGGGTCCTTTTTGCCACACTGTAATATCCTCAAAATGTAGGATCCTAATCTGGATAAAATGTCCATGCCAAAAAGCTCTGACTGTAGACTGTAGTCAAGACTTTAGCAGTGAATGAACGGCAACTCTTTGTGCAATGTCTGCATTATTGATGCCATAGTCTGTACCTATTTAATCAAAGTAGTGGAGTCTGTATACTAACATTTAACACACTGCTACAAAAATAATTAAATTTCTGAGTTCAACTCTAGAGACTGAAGGCCCTCCAGCAGTGATCAGCTTCTCTAAACTATCATTACATATCATTCATCAAACTATCATATCATTACAAGTACCTCAGAGCTATGGGCTATGGCCTCTGGCACTGATCCACTTAGCTTAGCTCCAGGGTTGGCTGATTTCAGCCAGGGCCTGGTTTAAACCATGGTTCAAACTGGCTGGCATAAATTAATTCATACCACACTGGTTATCACCACTTTTCCATGCAATAAAAATGTAATAAAGGCCACTTACGGCCTTTAGTTGTTAAGTGATTTAGAAAGCTGTCACAGGATGTTTACTTTTTACCATGTAGAGAGAATTTTGCATTAATTTTCTTGAAAATTCATCAGACTAAAAACTGACTGAATGTTTTGCTTTGCATGGGAAAAATAAAATACACCATGACAATGCAGAATGGCCGGTAGGATGACAGTTTTACCAGTCATATTTTTTAGAACAAACTTTGCATTTAGCATAGCACTGCGCAAATCCACAAAAGACTATACATTCAAATTGAGTGAGAATCATTCAACCAAACATGTAGGGTGGAGGACTTACGTCACCAACTTGTATTTATATCGACAAACGTTAGTTTCTGCCTTCTGGCAGCTTGTTATTCGGAAACAAGAGGGCTCTTTTTATATTAAAAAGTAACGCCATGATGCTTGGCAAGCATTTCCTAAGCTCGTAAGTTTTTTTTTACTACTGATGTTGGTTACACATTTGGCTTTTATAAATTTCTACTGGTTTTAACTGGCTAAAATCAGTTGGGCAAACTAGACCTTTGGAATCAAAATATGGAGGCATCAAAAGATTGATTCCTTTTGGGCATAAATGCAGACCATTTCTAACTTACCAATCACATAAAAATAAGAGAGTGTTTCAAGAAGGAGCATGCCTGATCTTGAACAGAAATGCTTGAACTATCTCCTAAGCAAAATAATATTGCTCTTATCATAACAATTTAAATTCTATAGGTAGTGAAAGGCAATCAAGGAATTGATTCACTTTTAACAGATAATCATAATATTGATTCCCCATCAGCTGGCTAATCATTATTTTGATTCACAGGTAATGTTAACAGATAGGCAACAATGACTTGCAAGAATACAGCATTTATCTTGCTATTATTCTCATTTAGTGGTATCCTCAGCACCACAACTGATACCTATAGCATTGTTGTACTTTACCTTCACTACATTTGATAACAACTCAAAATTTTTAAATGTCAAGAATACAAAAACTGAAGCAACAGGTAAAAACCATATAAGTAATATAAAAGCACTACAACAATGATAATTAGGGGTTTAAAAATTTCATTTTGCCATTTTACACAAATACTGATTGGTTAGTAAGTGATTCATGATACAGAAATAACACGACCTCTTCTGGGTGTGCGAAACATGCAGAATGAAATTCAAGGTCTCGGTTTCACTGCAACAAGTGATCTCTAGAGTAGAGCAGGTAGAAAAGAATGTCATAGAAGCAATTGGCAAAGACAAGGATGAGAAAACTGTAGAGAAAGGGATCGAGAAAAAAATAAATGAAATGGAGAAGAAAGTAGTAGAAAAACTAAGCGAACAGAAAAAGGTTATCCTACAGAGCTCGGACACGATAAAGAAAGCTGTTCAAACGAGCAACGAGAAAAGGGACATGAACCTGATCATTCACAACCTGCCAGAGTCAGAGTCAAGCGAGACAGAGGTAAGGAAGGAATATGACAAGGAAAGGATCCAAGAGATGTCTAGGGCCCTGCGAGGCAACGACACTCATATAGATTTGCTAGACGTGGTCCGTCTTGGCAGAAGAGACACTTCATCCGACAAACCGAGATTGCTTTTGGTGAAACTTAAAGACAAAGAGCAACTAGAGGACCTGTACAAAAAGAGGTTCAGACTAACAGATGTAGGGTTCAAGAACAGGTACATCACCAAGGATCTGTCGCCAGAAGAAAGATCAAAGCAAAAAGAACTGAGGGACGAACTCAAAAGAAAAGGCAAGGAGACACACAGGATCTTTCAGAACAAGGTGGTCCCAAGAGAACAGTAGTGTGACTCTCAACAAAGTTTTGTCATGCTTCTACTCTAATGTCAATAGCTTAGGAAACAAGATGGAAGAGTTTGTGAACAGGGTGGACATTCATAAGCCAGACATTATAGGACTGACAGAAGTGTGGCAGAAGGATGAGATTCACATTCAAGGCTATCAAGTAGCAGCCAGTAAGTCCCGACCTGATGGTTGTAAAGGTGGAGGTGTTCTACTTCTTGTGGCAGATCATTTAAGGGTCAGCGAGTGTGATATTTTGAACAATTCAAACTTTGAAGAAGCAGCATGGTGTAGAATTCACACAAGGCCTGGGAACACAATAGTGGTGGGCATCTGCTACAGACCACCAAACAGTGATCGGGAAAATAATCAAGAACTGCTGAAGTTGCTAGAGAAAATGAAAACAATTAGTGCTACAGACTACCTGGTTATGGGAGACTTTAATTACAGAGAAATTGATTGGGACACTGGTGCAATTTCAGGACCACCAAACTCTGATGCCACTCAGTTTTACAACATAGTACAAGACTGTTACTTAACCCAGCATGTGAAATCCAGCACCAGGCACAGAGCAGGTACAGCCCCCTCTACCCTGGACCTCATCCTCACTAATCAGGAAAACAATGTTGAGGAAGTCAAATATGAAGCTCCAATAGGAAAAAGTGATCACTGTGTGATAATATGGGACTATAGAATACACTCTGAAAACAGGGAGGCCAAGGAACAACTCAGATACAATTACAGAGCTGGTAACTATGATTCTATCCGTCATGAGCTAGCACAGGTGCAGTGGGATGTGATAGAAAACATGGATGTTGAAGCAGCATGGACATTCTTTGTTGATAAGTTACACGATTGCAGAAAGAAGTATGTTCCTCTATTCAAAGGCAGAAGAAAAACAAAACTGTCACCACCGTGGTGGAATAAAGCACTAGATAAGCAAGTGAAGCGTAAATATAAAGCCTACAAGCAGTACAGAAAAGAACAAACAGCAGAGAATCTGAAGAAGTTTACCAGGATCAGAAACGAGACCACGAGTCACATCCGGCAGACAAGAAGGTTGTATGAGGAAGAGCTGGCAAGGTCAGCTAAGATAATGCCAAAGAAGATAGCCAAATATGTAAGACTGCAAAGCAAAACAAGAGACAAAGTGATGGAACTAGTCAAACCTGATGGCACTGTGATAGCAACAAAGAAAGAGATTGCAGATGAACTACAAACATTCTTTTGCTCAGTTTTTGTAAAAGAACAAGGCGGTGTTTTGCCAGCTTTTGAAAGTCAGGTGGAAGAAGGAGAATCACTCGAGGATATTAACATTACTTTTCAGGAAGTACTCCATGAACTTCAAACGTTGACTGAAGACAAGGCATCAGGACCGGATGATGTTTCCCCCTTTCTCTTGAAAAACTGTGCACCTGAGCTAGCATACCCACTCATGCAGATATTCCAAAAGTCCATGACAAGCGGACAGCTACCAACAGCTTGGAAGAGAGCAGCAGTGGTACCACTCTTCAAGGGAGGCTCCAAAAAACTGGCAAGTAACTACAGGCCTGTGAGTCTGACTAGTCATGCATGTAAGGTCATGGAAAGAATTATCAAAAGGCACCTGCTCAACCATCTATTAGAGAAAGATCTCATCTGCAAAGAACAGCATGGCTTTGTACCCAGAAAATCATGTTTGACCAATCTTCTAGAGGCTCTGGAGGATTGGACACACATACTGGACAGCAGCAGTGGACTGGACATCATCTATTGTGACTTTAAAAAGGCCTTTGATTCTGTGCCCCACCGAAGACTTGTTAAGAAGCTGGCTGCCTATGGTGTCAAAGCAGGAGTGCTTCAATGGATCACAAACTTTCTTCAGGACAGGACTCAGAAGGTAGTAGTTCATGACCAAGAATCTAGAGAAGAGGCTGTGACCAGCGGAGTTCCGCAGGGCTCAGTATTGGGACCCATCCTGTTTGTGATATATGTCAACGAATTGCCCACATTGGTCCAGTGCGACGCAAAACTGTTTGCAGATGACATGAAGATTTATCGCAAGGTCAGAAATTCAGAGGACTCAGAACAACTTCAGGCAGACCTAGATAGACTCTCGCAATGGACTGAACAATGGCTTCTTGAATTCAACCCCCAAAAGTGTAAAGTGATGCACTGTGGACCACATAACCCAAAAAGATCTTACAGTATTAGAGGAGTCAAACTAGAAGTCACAGATAAGGAGCGAGACCTGGGGGTGACTATAACAAACGACCTTCGACCTACTAGTCACTGTCAAAGAGCTGCGAGCAAAGCAATGGTAGCTCTCCGAATGATAAAGAGGTCCTTTGACCAAATCACAGCAACAAACTTCACCAGCCTCTTCAACTCATATGTGAGACCACACCTGGACTACTGTATACAAGCTGTGGGTCCCCAAGCTGTTCAAGATATCAGTCTCCTCGAAAACATCCAGCGCAGAGCTACAAGATTGGTGAGGGGGTTAAAGCACAGGCCATACCAAGAAAGACTAAAAGTCCTGAAGACCGTATCTATTAAAGACAGGATAAAAAGAGGCGACTTGATTGAGACGTATAAAATCATGTCAGGGAAGCTCAATGTGAGGAGAGAGAAGTTTTTCAAACTGAGGACGACAAACACAAGAGGTCACCATATGAAATTACACAAGGAGCAGTCAGTCCATCAAGCCAGACAAAGGTTCTTCTCACAGAGGGTGGCTAATGACTGGAACAAGCTACCAGATGATGTTGTGTCTGCTGACACCACTGCTACATTTAAAGCTAAGCTAGATAAGCACCTCCAGCTCAAAGCCAACTGTGACCTGTGACCTCCAACCTCAATGAGTACCCTGACATGTTTCCTTGCCAACAATGACATGGACAACAAATAGCATACTGCTACCCCAAGTCCATTATCTATATACCTATACCTATACCTAACATACAGTGTGATTTCCTCAAAACAGCTTTTACGTGATGGACAGTGGCTCTGTCTTTTTCCCATTCACAAGGCCAAGGGGACAATTTCTTAGCTTTGAGGTAACACTTTTTGCAAACCTACCACATTTTTCTACCTTTTAAAAGAAAAATCTCACCGTCATGGGCCTTTTTTCAACCGTAACGATTCATTTGAAGTCAAAAGTGTACCCAAATGAATCAAAAAATTGATTCCATGCCCATATTTGGTCATGGCTCCTCCCACCATAATCAAATTATTGATGCCTCCATATTTTGATTCCAAAAGTCTAGTTTGCCCAACTGAAAATCAACAAGAAAATCAATAGAAGTCACTGACTGGCATAAATTCAATTTCAGCCGGCTGAAACCCAACCCTGCTTAGCTCACACTGTCATAGCTTCAGCCCTACCAGCCGCTTATTGTAATAATCAGGTTATGGTAATTACGTTTTATCATCTCTTTCAATTAAAATAGTTATCTAACCATAACTACCGGGCCCGAAATGAATTTTTGGCTGCTTACCTTCGGACAACTTCGGCGAGTTTTGGCGCACTAATTTTGTCGACAAGTTTGTTATCTGCCAGCAAGGTTTAGTAATTATTTCACTCAGTAACATTTTGTCAAAAATTTTACGTCATAGCATCCATTATGTTTTTTTTATTTATTTATGTTTTAGGCGCGTCTGCTCAGTGGTCTGCTCAAAACAAGAATATAAATGAGATGCATTCACAATATTTACGATTTATTGGATAACAGGCGTTTCATCGTATGAAAAGATACGAAGCAAATGCAAGAACAGTCCAAGTCCAAGAATTACCTTTAGGCTTTAACATCAAATGTAGAATGAAGTCGGAAGTCCGGACTGGCGAATACAGTTTACATACCTACCTACCTACCTACCTACCTACATGGTGACCTCAGACCTCAGGTGATTTCGGTGACCTCGGAAGGTCACTTTAACCCGGCAGGCGGTGGGCCTACCAGCCACCTTCCGCGCGGTGGGGGGGGGGGCACTTTTTTGCCCCCCCCGTAATATCTCCGAAACTACTGGACGGATCCGGAAAATTCAAACGGCGTTCGATAGCCCTGTCAAATTTGTCAAGGGAAACCAAATTTCATTGACCTCGGGGTCACCGATGACGTCACAGGTCAGGTCAAAGATAAAATGTTTCACCGTTCACGGGGCTTCTAGGGAAAGCGCTATAACACCGAGTAAAACGCATTTTGTCGAAAATCAGCGATAAGACGTCAGTTGTCTAGTACATATGTTGCTATTAGAGGTCACTGGTCATACCAGGTCAGGTCACAGGTCAGGTCACCAAAGGTCACCAAGGGTCACCACATGAGCCCAACTTTACCAAGGTTATGCGATGCATGTTTTATGGCCAGTTTTTCATTTCCAACTCAATGGTGTTGGTTATAAGACCATCAGATACGGTTTAGGTCACTTTCTGGTGGAGGTCAGGTCAAGGTCAGGTCAAAAAAGGTCAAATTTCAAAGTTGATATTTTTGCATAAAATGGGTATCGATTCGATGCAGCTCGTCACGGGGTCTAATGGTGGTCTTTGTTTTGCGCTACGAGGTCTAGAATTGCTAACAATTGAGTTTGAAAATTTGACGTCATCAATTTTGAACAGTTTTTTTCGCTATAACTTGGCCAAAAAAAGAGGTATCGATCTCAAATTTGGTATGTAGGTAGAAGGTGGTAGGGGCTATCACATATATTCCGGTTTTTTCGAAATTCAAAAAACTTTTTGGATTTTTTGGCTATTATATCCAAAAAATCTATTTTTTATTTTTGGGGGTCCAAATCCAAAAAATTCGAAAAACCGAAATAGCAGTTTTATAGCCCTTTTAATTCCACACCTTTTATGTCTGAAACATTTTTCTGTATCTCTAAAGCTGTAGGCCTGACAGCTCTTCCCGCGAAAACTTTTTTTGGGTCGAAAATGGCAAAAATGACGTCACTCTGACGTCATTAGCGGCCAACCTATCAAAGCCTTTGGAAAAATTTTTGGTCACCATGTGCGCTAGCTGCTCCCGGGAGGTACCGAAAGTTTGGTGACGATCCGCGCAGCGGTTCTCGAGATATATCGAAAAAACTAAAGGGGGGGGGGCAAAAAATGCCCCCCCCACCGCCTGGAAGGTTAACGTTTTTGACTACGGTAGCTATCTGTTACTCAGCTGGACTTATCACGACAAAAATGACACTACTTTAATCGCAATTGAATAATAGTTTATCAGCAGTTTCGAATATGGTGACCCCTCGAGTGACCTTGTTGACCTTCAGAGGTCAGTTAACATTTTTGCCAATGGCAGCCATCTTATAGCTTAGCAACTACCGGACCAGACCACCAGTCGATTCGCCGTATGGGAACTCCACGGCCGTTTTGAACTTATTGACCTCAAGTGAGCTTGATGACCTCGAAGGGTCAGCTATAATACCTACCCATGTTGATGTTTCGCGGGATAGCTGCAGTAGGCGAAAACACTGACTTCTACGGTCACCAAGGTCACCTAAGGTCACCATATTCAAAATGGCTGATAAGATCGCCTGCGAACGGGAGAGTCGACTTGTGACATTTCCGTCTCGATCGGCTGGGTAGCTGAGTTATTGGATGGCTGCCTGCATAGGCAAAAACGGCCACCGAATGGTCAACAGACATCCTCACCGTAGACCTCCCAAGGTCGCCGAGGTCATATGAGGTCTCAGGTTACCGTATTTGAAAAGGTAATGAAATTGTATGCAGGACGTCGACGTCGAGTGCGGGATATCTATCTGGCGGATCGGGCGGGGGGGGGGGGGGGGGGGGGGCGGCAACCGGGCCAAAGTCAGGACTAGGGGTGGCAAAATTGTGAGAGCTGCCCTTTCAAACCGAACTTTTCCCCTTAAAATCTCCTCTGGACCGCACTTCACAATAGATGACATGACAGACATGCATCTGAAATAAAAATTACACTTCATTCCTAAAAACCAACCACTCGAAGAAGGTATGTACAAAATTCGAAAAAGTCGACCTTTGATGACCTTTCAGAGACCACCCCGAAGAACGTATTTTTATCATGACTTTTCCCCCTTCGAACGCCTCTTACCGCGTGTCACTATAGGTCCAGATGCGAATTTAGAGGGGGAGAGAGTCGCCCTGGCGTGGATTTAGCTTACGACGGGGGGTTCTTTTCAGAGGAGATGCTCGATGTCGATACAGCTCGGAAACCATTATGGGGGGCCAAAGAAGTGGCCGGTTTGGGCCCCCTGATTACCCTGCTTATATGGCCTTGGACTACCCCAGGATAGTCCCATAGAGATAGTCCCTCCCTCTTCCCCTCCCCTGAGCCTCACCCCCGCAGCAATAATCGTTTCTGCTTCTTGACGGGAGACGTTTCCAGGCAACCCGAGGACATGAATGTAACTAAGGTTGGATTTAAAGGAAACGAACTACTGAAGGTTGATAGCAGTGCTACGATGGCAATATTTAAATAGCTTGTTTATCCTAGCATAAAATTATTTCATTGCGATGCACGGTTCATCTCTTCCTCGCCAAAGGCTGTCGCCCTAGCGGTAAATTTATGAACTAAGCATCAGTGGACTGTGGGCGGGAAATATGGCCCCCGAGATGTCAGGGGCAAGTCAGGGAATGTTCCGTGCGGTAGGTCGCTGTCCGGTCGAGTCATGTTAAACTGAACTGGTGAATTTCTACGGGTGGTGATTTCGGCGATGTGTTTTTGTGAGTTGAAGTGAATTGTGATTAGTGCGGACTGCGGTGTTGGTGCCAAGAGGCTCGCGACAGTGCAGTGGACACTGGACAGGGACGTAGCCAAGGGGGGGGGGGGACACGGGGGCCGCCCATGACCCCCGCCCCCTCCTGAAGGCGAAGAATAAAATAAGATTTAATGAAAAATAAAAATAAATAACGATAGCTGCACCACACCCCGAAAAATAGTGGGCCAAATCCGAGTAATTTTCTTTTTTGAGGGGGTACGACACTTGGCCGCGACCTGTGGCCCCTCCCTGAGCAAAACCCTGGCTACGTGCCTGACACTGGACGTGATAAGCCAAAGTGACCTTTTTGAAGTGAACTTTTGCGAACCTGAAACGTGCGAACCTGAAGATCGCGATCGTTGAGCTAGTTCGACTGACCGGGTGAGTAAGGTACTGAGCTATTTGTGAGTGAGATGAGTGGAGTGAGCTTTATAACTTGTAAGTCTTTGCACGGTTCGTCGGAAGGTCATCTCAGGCTCAAAAGAAACGGTATATACCATTCGAAAGCTGACGGTGAGCTGAATCCAAAAATGTAATTTTTATCAAAATCGATCGATGGCCTTTTTTGAAAATTGCGTTTTTGTGAAACCTTTATAATCTTTTATTCAACGGGCTGTCCCGGACATTCTTGAAAACATAAACATGTATTTTTTAGTTCCAATGAAAGCTGAACGCCAAAAGAACAATATTTAGCGAAGCAATATTTCCAAACATTAATATGCGTCTCCCACAGCCGACAATAAGGCGTAATCACACAGCCCAGTGTCACGATGGACCAAAGTCAGCCACACAGAAGCGTGAAATGACCCTTATCGACTCGCAGACCCGGCGCTCTCGGCCCGCCTGACCAGCCACGGAAAGAACGTTCGGCTCTCGTTCTACTAACCAAATGTCGTATTTGTCAGTTTAACTGTCCACATCGCTAGTAAAGTTATTCAGGATACCTGTAAAGAAAATTCATTGTTCTGTCATCTTCACATCATACATTAATTTGCATTTGTTCGTGTCTACTTTGCTCAATTGAGCTTGGTATCATGCCCATATAAGGAAAATTGGCCGCGCTGAAATGTCAGAGGTTGCACCGGCCTCAGTTCGGGTGGAGTGGGGGTAGCGCACGGTGGGGCAGGGTAACCTTTGACCGGTCGCACGGCCGAGCAGCCGTCACCAGTACAGCCTCTGACAGTGAAACCCCGCTCACTTCCCCTGCGCGGGCACTGAGCGTAGCTGGATGGAACAAAACATGTAAAAGAAATATGTAAATTAAAGCATGTTGTAAACCAGGCAGAACAATGAATTTTCTTCACATGTATCCTGAATAACTTTAATAGCGATATGGACAGTTAAACTGACAAATATGACATTTGTTTAGTAGAACGAGAGCCAAACGTTCTTTCCGTGGCCGGTCAGGCGGGCCGAGAGCGCCGGGTCTGCGAGTCGATAAGTGTCATTTCAAGCTTCTGTGTGGCTGACTTTGGTCCATCGTGACACTGGGCTGTGTGATTATGCCTTATTGTCGGCTGTGGGAGACGCATATTAATGTTTGGAAATATTGCTTCGCTAAATACTGTTCTTTTGGTGTTCAGCTTTCATTGGAACTATAAAATAAATGTTTATGTTTTCAAGAATGTCCGGGACAGCCCGTTGAATAAAAGATTATAAAGGTTTCACAAAAACGCAATTTTCAAAAAAGGCCATCGATCGATTTTGATAAAAATTACATTTTTGGATTCAGCTCACCGTCAGCTTTCGAATGGTATATACCGTTTCTTTTGAGCCTGAGATGACCTTCCGACGAACCGTGTTTGGTGAGGATCATCCGCTGGGAGGGATAAACTTTAAAAGACACCACTGCTTCTCGTTTCAGAATCTTCTACGAGGGAGCTGGAGCGCTTCGGATCCCGAATGGTCAGTCAGTCCGTTCCGCCCATGTCGTTAGCTCTATTTTTGTGCATGTGTTTAAAGGCAGATCAGATGACAGATGGACATTGTTCAGTGTTTCGAACTTGATAAAGCTTATAAATTGAGCAGGACAAGCCTTCGTCGCAGACCTTTATTCAATGGATTTTAAGTTGTTTTAGGTATTTGATAGACTGGATTAGATGACCCAGCTATTAGATATTTTTGGTAATGCCCAAGATTCTTACAGAGTAAAGTAATGCCTTTTGCTCTGCTATGTGTAGTGTAAAGTAAATTGTTGATTGCCTACCTCCTAGGGTCGGCTAAAGGTTTATGGTTTTCCCTATTTCTATTACATTCTTTCTAATGTTAAATTAGAGTTAATGAAACCTGACCAATGATCTGAGCCACCTGGATCCGCCTCTTATTTGTCTGTGCTGTTGTAGCCGTGTTCTGTTTATCATGGCGAGGCATTTACCATTCTGAACGGCTGCCAAGCCGTGCTCCCGGCTCCCGGCGCCGACTGACCGCTGCCGGCGTCACTCCCCCGAGTCGGGTCAGCCAGCTGACCGCTGACCGGGCCGGCAGAGGTCAACGAAACGTCAGCGAACTGCGCACACATGCTTTCAGTGGTACAAAATGTTTATGGAATGGGCAAAAACTTGTCTTAGGGATGCATTTATGGAATTATTTCTTATGGGCAGAAAGTTGGATACTGACTGAATAGCTGTAAATGTAGGTATTCTTACTAGATTATTGCTTTGGATAGGTATGAATCTTCTCGTTTTCATGCCTTTGATCACTGATATACGAGTAAGATAGTACCGATATAAAGGTATTTTGATGAATAGGAAGTGACATTATAGGGCGCAAAATGACCATTTAGTCGACGCGCCCTAAAGCCCCAATAAATAATCAAAGTGGTAGGTTATTGGCTGAGTGCTCTCATCATTTTTCGATATAGCATGATAAGGATTTGTTTCACCGCTAAATACTTTTATGCTGCCATCTGAGATGACAGTAGTCGATCGTACTTTCGAAGCTCGGATTGTAATCGGTTTTTTATAAACAAACATATTCGGCGTGCATTCCGAGCTCCGCCATCGGGACTCATAACCACAACAATACAAGCCAACTGATAAAAGCAAATTGAGCCGGGAAGTGGGACAACCGGGCGACTCTGATGTGCGGACCTGTGGCCGTACAGCAATCTTGGCCGAATACCATATAGGATCGGAAGATTATAGACTTGGGTATGATTGCTTGTTCCTTCACTCGATACGAGTTTTATAATGCGTTATAAACGAAGGGCAGGTCGAATTCGGTAAATCGCGCTCGTCCATATCGAATGAATGCCTCAATGTATTGATTCGATAACGGACGGACAACTGAGCTGCGTAGCAGACGACACGCCGTCCGCCCAGCACCAAGGTCACCAATGGCGAGCTATCGTGTCTCACGCGCCGTCCGTCTTGTTGCCAAGGTCACCCATGGCAAGCTGTCGTGTCTCACACCGTCCGTCTCAGCACCGAGGTCACCCATAGCGAGTGGGGGCTGTGCGCGCTGCCACTCACTAGGGCTGTTAAGTGATGACGTCACGGTTCCAACAGCTGACTGCGCTAATGTTGTAGAGATAGGCCAAACGATTCATAACTAAAATGCAAGAATTTGGGGACGTTTACCGATGTTATGTCATGTTTCAATAATGGAAATGGTATTAAGCTGTCATTTTGGTCGACTTAAATGCATTTATATTCATTGATTTGCACAAAAAACATGATTTTTTTTGCACGGCTGCTAAATTAAAAAAACTTGTGCGATTTTGGCGCAGAATAGACATTGCGCCATTACCTTTATAACACGGGCACCAATGGGCAAATGTACTAGCTGTGAATAGGTAGTGAATTGGAGTGGGTTATTAATTAGATATACTGTGTTTCTCAGACCTCAGGTCAGCTATCACAAGACGCACGCTTGTTTTAAGCTTTGAACATCGAGATGGTGAATTGCTGTGTCCCAGGCTGTACGAACCGGTCAGGGGACAAAAACAAATATGCGTTCTACAGGTTTCCCAGCAACAAACTGATCCGTCAACGCTACATTCGTGCGATAAGGTTAGTAAGAATTTTGAGAATCAGCATATTTTACACGTCAAGCTTTCATAAATCCCATCATAAATCTTTTCCATAAATCATGCAAGGGAAATATGGCATCTTACCTTTTAATAAAAACATCAAATTATTGTTAGCTATTTCTATAAAAGCTATAAAAGTGTATATAATATCAGATAATAATAAATATTTATTTTTGGGCATCATTACGGAATGATTCACAAGGTTAACTCGGAGCCTTGATCGTCAATCACTTGTGCATGGTGCATAGGTACTCAATAAATAGCAGTAACAGTAGTCATAGCACAAATATATTTACCAAGTCTGTTGTATGTTTTGGATATGAACATTGAAATTTGAAACATTTACATTTTGTAACATTCAAATTGAAAATTATTAATAAACTGACAAGCTTCATTTCAGAAACAATCGCACGAACCTGTTTTTGTGGATATTTTCTACTTGAAGGGCTTGTAACTTGCGTCATCCTAATCATGCATGCCTAATCTAAATCATCATGTAATCCCTTTTTTCTGTTGCAGGAGGGAGAACTTCACCCCTACTGAACACACAAGGATCTGTTCGTGGCACTTCCCTAATGGCAAAAAAGCAGGTCCAGTGAGGTTTCCATGGAATGAAGGGAAGCGGATCAACTTGCCTGATGATACCAGACCCCATCACTCTTCTCCTGGAAACAGAAGACAAGATGCAGCTGTGGAAATGGAAGATGCTGTCCTTGGACCACCTGTGCATAGTGAGGCCATGTTGTCTGCCGAGAACGACCTTCTCAAACAGCATATCAAACGACTTGAAACTGCAGCAGCTTATCAGCAGCAGAGGTTCTGCTACAACCAGATTAGCCATAGCGAACAGCTAGTAACTTACTATACTAGTTTGAGCAGAGCAATGTTTGAAACCCTAGTCACATATGTGAGCATGTGTGATTTTACATACCACACCTTCAAGGTCACAACGATGACATTAGAGGACCAAATTCTCCTGGTGTTGATGAAACTGCGACACAACTTTGGGCACACAGATCTAAGCGTGAGATTTAACAAGAGTGTAGCCACCGTTACAAATGTCTTCAGGACATTTGTGTCCATCTTCGCTGAGGCTCTGTTCAAGCCTATTTTTGGGAAGGGTATGCCTAGTAGAGAAAAGAATTCTCAATCTATGCCAGCATCGTTCAGGAAGTTCAGGCACTGCAGGACGACACTTGATTGCACAGAAATTAGGATTCAGCGACCTGATAGCTGTGAGGGCCGCTCAAGCACCTACAGTGCTTACAAAGCTGCCAACACCTTCAAGGTCATGGTTGGGGTGGCACCCAATGGCACTGTGAACTTTGTCAGTGACGTTTACGGCGGCAATGCCTCTGACAAGCACATCGTGGAGACTAGCGGCCTGTTGGAGCAGCTAACCACAGGCGACCTCATCCTGGCTGACAAAGGTTTTCCTATCAAGGACATTGTACCTGATGGCGTCACCGTCAACACACATGCGTATCTATTTCAGCCTCAGTTCACCAAGCAAGAGGTGATGCACAACAGGGAAGTTGCCGAAGCCCGCGTGCACGTTGAGCGCGCGATTCAGCGGCTGAAGTATTACACCATTTTAGATGGCATACCCCACCAGTATAGGAATATGATAGACAATATAGTTCGTGTCTGTGCCTTCCTCACCACCGCCCAGAGCCCTATCATAAGCCACGAGAAACTTAGCAACATGTCCTCTTAAGCCGGGTAGCAAACTGCGCGTTATTAGTGGTGTCACCCTGTTAGATGCAACGTTTGCGTAGTTATCAATTGAAGTAAGTCAATAGCATTGTCTGTGTTTTTCTCACCAACGTCCGGAGTACTATCGCGGGAAACTGTGCATTTTGTCCTAAACTGGTTTGCGAACTGTTTGATATGTTAATGTCTTCACTGTCTGATGAAACACTTCTTGAGTTATAGCTGTCATGGAAGTATGATAATCTGGAAATTGTTTCAGCTGTGCGCTGTGGTACGCGACATTTACTTGTCAATAAAACTGTCCACAAACATGTATGTTTATTATTTGCATTATTTACACACAGTTTGACGTTTGAAAGTGAAACACGACAACCAGCCTGGCGCGCACCTGTACAGTGACACACATTTACTTACGCACCTGAACATTACACACAGTTTGACGTTTGAAAGTGAAACACGACAACCAGCCTGGTGCGCACCTGTACAGTGACACACATTACATCACAGTGGCAAATCTCATATCGCCCAGCAGGCATGAGCCCTGCAGGTTAAGCGGACCCGATGATGCTCGGCACCATGTGGACCCTATAGAACTGTTTTAGGAGTTCTAGGTTTACAGTCCATGAATCGCTTCTGGCGATGGTAACGATGTGTAAGTCACGAGTCGTCCAGACAACAAAGTCACACTTGGTGAAGCCACTTAACCACATCTGGCCCTGTACCTGGTGGAAGTAATCGTGATCTTCTTTAAGATTCAGGTTTTCGTCCAAGAAAAACTTTCCATCTGCTTGCACAGCTTCCTGGATCGTTCGACACCTGTGTGTCCACGGACACTTCACCTCTAGGAGTGTATCCCCCACTACACCATCTGGAGAGGCCCCAAGCATACCATCTTCAGAGAGAAAAATCCCATTCTCTTCCACCTTTTTTCCAGTGCGATTTTCATACGCTCGCTTTGCAGCTGCTTCGTGGGTTCGTCCCCATTTTACAGCTGCACTGCCGGATGGGTCATAGCCACCAAGGAGCCTTTTGAATAGTGACTTTGGGTATCTTCCTCTGGCAATTGCCTTCAAGACGAGGCCGAAGTTGCTCGATGTCAGCCTTCCCTTTCTAGCAACAAACCACTTGGGGTTTTTGACCTGACCACTGGTCACCCTCTGCA